CGGGCATCATTCAATCATCATTCATTGTATATATAGCTATAGGTACAGACTAGGTACGGACTTAAAGAACATTAAATTTGTAAGAAATTATTATTAATTTTTCATTAAGCCAGTAAACCGTCAACAGTTATTACAATATTACGTCTTTTTATTATATTGTAGATGTAAATGTGACTATGATGGGTATTTATTTTTTTTTGTTCGTTAGAATGAATGACACGGTTTTTATACTTTAGTATCTTCAGAGTTAAAGTAGGTAAATACCAAGAAATCGTATTTTTCATTCAGTATTTAAAATTAATAGGTAAATATTAGATACATGAAATAGTCTCACACACAATCAATTGCTATTCAGGAGTACAGTCAGTATATACTTAAAACCATGTTTAAAAATTAAATTTTATTTTATTTTTATAATAAATTTTTATTACTTAATTTTAGTGTCTAATAAAGAATATGAATATTCTAATTTAATAAAAATTAAACATAATGTTTAAATTAATTTTACGTACTACAGATATTAAGACGTATATTTTTGCGTTTGCCAATCAAATTAAAAATAAATAAATAATTTTCAATAGTGTTTACACTATTGTAATTTATACAGTTATATGTATAAACATAACTAATAAATCGTTTATACTTTAATTGATTCATCAGAAATTTTTAATTTAATGAGGTAATCTATGGTTTTTCAAGTACATGTCATCCATATATAAAGTTGTATAAAAGCAGTGCTTTATAAATGCTTTTATACAAAACAAATTAACTACCTATACAAATTACTTATAAGTTAAAAAGGGCTGACAAAAGAGTGCTTCTTTTGTTTATTTAGTCATTTTTTATGAAGTGGATAAGAATTGCTTTTATTCAGAAGCGTTAATTTGTGTGTTCGTAGAAGAGTCAAATGTATTATTATTATTCTATATTCAGACACTTGTTGCACACAAACTTAAAAAAAAAAAATACTTGAGATAACCCTAAAGGGGCCAAAAGAATAGAAGTTTAAAATGTTTATATACTTAAATTAAATAAATATGTTTACATATTTATACATTGTAATTATTAAGAATAAATTTAAGTATTATCTTTGTGTTTTACCAAGAACATAATTTAGATTTTAAATAGCATTCATTTGAGTTTATAAGTAAATTCATAAGTATAACAGAAATTATGATTGATCGTACATAAACTTAATCAAAAAGCAATATGATTATGATAGCAAGAATGATTCTAAATAAAGATAAAAATAATGTTAAAATAGCTTGAAAAAGATTATCTTTGATAAATTAATAATTATTAATTTAAGATATTAATAATATCTAACGTGACAACTTAAGATTTTCGTATAATATTGGTGTACTTCGAACAGTAGCTGATAATGAAAAATAAAAGATTATTAAACATTTTAAATTTCTTGAATTAAAATTTAAACGATTTAATAACTGTGGCACTGTTGCTATTGAATTATAATATACTCGATTATATAAAATTGAAAAATATATATTCAGAATGTTTGGTAATATATAGTAGAAAAATATACTAACATAATAATTTAAATATATATTTTAAGCCAAATCTACATAATATAATAAAACTAATCCTGAAGTAGTAACTATTAAACTATTCTGAATGTGATTATCGTACTATTATTTATCATAGTCCTATATGCATACAATTATCAATATTATTTTTTAAGATATAGTAAAAAAAAATTCTACTATTTCAATAAAATAATAAATGCTAATCTTGATAGATTTGAACGTAATGGTATATCTATATTTGATTTACATAAATAATATAATTTTTACTTAAAAGTTATTCTAAAAAGGTTAATACGCATAAAAATGAAGTTATCAATATTGTTTAGTATTTTATTACAATCTAATCAAAAGGTTTTTTTCTTTTATTTTTTGAAATAATAAAAAGGATCTCATGAAAAATTAAATTATAGCAATGTATATTATCATGACTTTAATAAGTAATAACAATGTTATTCTCGTAATTTATTGTCCATTAAATTGTATTCAGTCGTTCGTCATTGTTGATTTACAACGCCTGCGCGCGTTATATACTTTTACAGGACATACTTTTATTTATTTATTTTATGAAAACAAAAATGTATACTACACAACATTTGTAAGTACTAGGTACCATAATAATAAAAATAAGAGTACATTTATAGTAAACAGTGTGTTCTGTGTACGTATGTATAGTCAGATAACCCTCATAATTTAGTTATCTCCCGTTTTTGGTTATAGTTATATTGCCATTCCGAAGACAACCCTTTTCTGTTCCATTAGTTCGTCGGATACAACGGTTTGTCGGCCAATTTATTCGGGAGACGAGAACATTCCACAAACGAATTGTTTCGTTCCCGACATATCTCAATGAGAACGCATTGTTTACACAGGAAAACCGGCGGTGGTTGGAAGAAGCAATAGCAGATAAGAACGGTAAAAAAAATTATCGTTAATGAAATAAAAAAATACATCGTATAAATACCTAAGTCGTTTTTTTATCATCGTATTTTAGTTCTTTTTTTTTTAACTTAAATTTTTTCAGCAATGCTAAATTCTTGATAGTTACGATGTAAGCTGCATTGGCATATTATCCATTTGCATATTATTAATAAATGATACTATATATTTTTAAAATTATAAGCGGATTATACTAGCTGAATCTATTCACGTTGATTCCATATACCTAAACATGGATTGTTTTGTATATAACAAATCGATTCCGTCTCTATAATTAATTATTAAATTCCAATATGTAGTCGCTTTATTGTAAGAACTATCATCATAAATGTAGTATCGCAACTGTTGTCGGTTGACACTTTATTTAAAATATACCTACCTATACCTATATGTATTATGCGTAAATTACAAATACATTTAAATGACGTATACAGTATGCTTTGAAAAATTTTAAATGTTTACTAATAACAGTAATAACCATTATATATCTGCCTTATAAATTATAATGGAAAATAGGTATTAAAAGAATTTCAACGCATTTTTTTCTCTTTCTGATTCACATTTAATTAGCGTTCAGCAGAACCAACCTTATGCTGTTAATTTAAATATTTAAATTAATTTATTATCAAATTTAAAATTTAAAAACATTACCTATGTTTGTACGTTGGCTTTTTTGCTAAATTTCAATTTTTAGGCGAATTTTGAGTACTAATACAAAATATTATAGTTACGAAATTCTTATACTAAACTAAAAATTGAAGTATATCATAGAATATCCAATGTACGATCACATTTAATATTCTTAACTTCAAGTTTGAAAATATATCAATTAACTCAAATATTAAAGCTAACAATGCAAAGTTTGTTCTGCTAACGTAAATTTGGTATGCGGTACGCAAGAAAACGATTAATTATCTGATATCCTTTTAAGTTAACTGCAAATTAACCATATTGTATTAATATTTTAAAATAATACAATTTGTCAAATTTTCTTGATTTAGTCATTTATACATTTTGCCATTAAATAAATTATAAAGCAGACTGTCTACACTCTATAAAATATATAATAATACATACCTAAGCATAAATTTTAAAAACAGGCATTTAAATCAGTGCAAAATTTATGAAAAATAACCTACAAATATCTAGTAAAGTTAAAGATTTTAAGGCCTTACTTTATAAATAAAATACTTAAAGGTTTATTTGGAAAATAATAAAATGTATTACTATCAATGGTTATTTTAAAATTAAAGTAAAAAATGTAATAAAGCGACAATTTTAAGATAATTTGTTTTTGACAATATCTTCATGAATGGATAAATAATTGCCATTAAATTGAATACGTATTATAATCATGTTTATAATTATTAAACTAGTAAATTATTTTCAGATACATAATAAGATTTAATATTGTATAACGCTTCTCTATGTATTTTGAAACTTTTATAAAGTAACAATTTTAAAAGGCCAAAAACTTCATTTTTTAAAAATGACCATGTGAGATTTTGATAATTTCTAATTCAATTCTATCGATCTATAAATCGACCTCCCTTAGACGATATTCATCAACTAGAAATTCATTTATTTATTAAATTGAATATTTTAAAAACTAATTACGAAAGGTAGGTAACAAATCTAGGGTTGACTGGCGAATGATAAATTCTAAGCAAAACTATCAGTGAATCCATTAGAGTTTAATCGGCAAATTGCTTTGTACATAAATGCATCAAAACAAGTTTACACACGTGATCCGACGTCATATTATTACACCTACGAAAACATGATATTAATACTTGATATTGAGTTGACCTTTCGAAAATTGTCTGCGAAACTGATATGAATCACAGCAACGCGTAATATCAAGCATTCATAGCAAGGACGCGTTATTATAACATTATTGTTATCTATACTCACATAGTTATGTGAATCGTACATTATTATTATTTATTAAACATATGAAAAAAGTGAACATCAACGCGCGTCCAAAATGTTCTAGTGGTTGAGTTATCGATCGAATCGATTTAGAAGTTGGTGGTGCAAACGTCCGAAAATACAGAACGCTGCAAAAAGAGGGAGAGAAAGGAAAAACAAGCATACGCACGCACGCTCGTTGCTCGCTCGCCTGGATATATGGAGGGGCCGGAAATACGCAATATACTGTCACCCTTTAAAAATATTGCCAGCGTACACATAACCTCCCTTATCCTATTCGACAGCACATTTGGCAGCATCAAAAGAGTTAATTTTATTCCGCGACGGATGACGAATCGATATTAACAAACACGTGCCTGGGATGGTGTACGTAAATAGTATACAGTAGAATGGGAAATTATCACCGATCAGGGGAGGGACACAGGTGCCCCTGTACTAATTTTTTTCTTGGATGAAATCTTCATCAGATTCTCAAACTACCCCTTAATTATTGGACTCGGCTCTCACGGACTACTTAACCGATGTATACATCGTAGGGTGCATAATATTTCCTATACGAAATCCAGTATGAAGAACCTGAACACTTACTTGATGTAGCTGGTTGTTCTAACACATATCTGGTGTCGTTGAAATGCGTTCGGAAGTAATTGGAAGTCCGGTAGCACGAAGAAGGCGTGCTGGCGATAGCCGCCTGCGCCAGGCACAGGACGACTACGAACGACCAAAGGCTGCGGTCCATTTCAGCTTCCGGATGTCCGGTTGCTACTGCGATCCGCGGAAAACGAAAACGGTTAATACGGTATTAAACTACAGCGTAACTACGAGACGGTTAAATTAAATATTTAATTATTAATTATTATTTAGATCGTGCGAGGGGATGAACGACCTCCGTCAACACTATGAATCGCGCAACGGCGTCAAACACATGGCCGACGCCGCACTGTTGTGGGATTAAAAACGGCGTTATCGATTGAATACTACCCAGGCCCGGCCGGCTCGGTTTCCACGCGACAGACGACCAGAATTACCGCAAATCACGTTAATAATCAAACAATATTTTAAGGGTTCGTTTTTCGTTATTTGGCAACGGACAGACACGCAGACAAGAAACCGGCACTCGATACGACCGCACGTTCCACACTAATACTGCAACAACGACAACAACGACAACGACCGGTCTACACTACTGCTGCCGTTAGCGGTGCGTGGCGCGTGCAGCTGCGGCGGCGGCGGCGGTACCGGCCGGGCAAGCAGATGATTTCGGTTCGGCGTCCGGCGGCGAGACACGAACCTCGCCGACGACGACGCAGCGACGGCGTGTCCGCCCGGCCGACAAGTACGGGCAGGTAGGAGTCACGACAGGTATGGGCAGGTAGTCTTACCGAAAATATTATAACAATAATAATAATAATAATAATAATAATACCGACACTAATCGAATAAATTACACGATCGAATCTCCACTCCCCACCTGCACCCGACCCAGACGCGAAACACGATCCACATAATATTACACACTATCCAGAGCCTACAAAAACTCTGTGTGGCATGCAGTCACTACACAGTTCGACAGTATATTGTACTTGTAAGTTATAGGTAGGAAGGCTGCATTTACGATATCGTGAGATGTCGAAAACTTGGTTTGCGGGTCTAACGTTTTTCCACATTTTAATAAAGCCTCGGAACAGTGATTAACAACCCGACGACCTGCAAGTTAATTTTAATAACTCGGATTTTCGGTCCAATTTTCATCTTTGGATTAATCATCTATCTACTATATGTCTATATAATAGATAATAATATATAGCTTAGTAGTACAAAGTTAAAATGTACTCACAATTTCATTTATTTATATTTTATAATAATAATAATAATAATAATAATAATTTAATTTGGTATTTACAGCTATACAGTCATACATAATTTATATAATATGTATGAATGTTACTTAATTACTACAATTTTATAATATATTAAGTTAAAAATAATATTATTCGTTAAAATATTGGATATTATAATTTATTACTAAAATTAAATTAATATCACTATTTATTTTTATGTTATGTTATTTTAGTAAACCCAAATTACCAAGATTGCATCATTAATATATGAATCTATAATATTTATGTTATTTTATTTTAGCTGTAGACCGTCAGACTGTTTACACTTCTTTAAACTAAATAGACAACAAATTTTATCATCTTACTACACCATCAATACTATATCTATATTTAAAAACCTACAGAAAATCAATTTAAATTTTAAGCAAAACAAAAATCAATTATTCATACCTGTATCTGCTGTAGTAACACGCGATGACACTAGTCAATCGCAACAAAATCAATTATATTTTCTATTTATTATATGTAAATTTACTAACATAATTATATAACTTAACAAGTAAATAATTATAAACTCATTGCCCATTGGATTCACAATTAATTTTTAACGATTTGAGAAAAATTCTAATTCTAATTATTCTGATGTTTCAAGGAATAACAGTTTTAACTTTTAACATATCGATTTGTAGACCTACAATACAGACAGATAGAAACATTGTTTGATTATTATCAAAAAAAATTTCAAAACATTATTATGAGAAGTTTGTGATGAGTTGGTAAATATTTGTTTTTAAAGCATGAAGCTACAAAACAAAATGTAAGCTACTTTATTTAGTTAAATTAAACAAAAATCACGAAAGTTATGTAATGAATTGCGCTATAGTGGAATTATTGGACAATAATAATATTAATAATGAAACGGTTGTTTATCAATATTGTTTAACAATGCGGACATACGGATCATAAACTCATAAACAAGTAGTCGATCAACGATCGACATCAATGTTTCAGTTACACCCAACTGCTGGGAATCTGTGTATGAACGGTATATGCTCAAAATATAAAAACCAAATTAAGTGTATTCAAAATAATTCACAAAAGAAAATTGGTTTGGAAACATAAAAAAAAAAACACGTCAATAATTCAATAAGCGTATAGAAGTGACCCGTAAACTGTGTTTAAATTCTAGTTTAAACATAGAATGGTATTAAATATCTACATAATTTTGGTGAATATATCATTTGACAATTCAAAATTACATATGCAATAAAATGTTAAATAAAAAAGAGTTTGAAATCATAATTATTTATGATTAACTTTCGAAAACGAATTATTTATTACACGACTTCATTGTAAAACAGTTATTGACTATTGTAAACTGTAATCACTGTAAAAATACATTAAATGCGAAAATCTGTTTTTAGATTTTACATCATTTCTTAGAACCAATCTAAGTAAAACCTCTGCTGATCATCATAAATTATTTATAATTCATGATTAAATAGATACCATTAATACTTTAATTTTACGCAAATTAAATTTAATATTATGTGAGTAGGTACAACCAAATGTTTAAAGTATACAAATAAAAAATACACTGTTAATACGGGCAATATAAATTTAGAATATTTTGTATACTCTTATAGTACTTCAAGCTTCATCGATTTATAAACAGATTTCTTATGTATATTTTATTTTTTTTATTCATCCAAGACCCTATTGAGATAAATTTAATGCACGCAACCCATCTTTATGTGTAGGTATATGTTTAAAAAAAACTTCATAGGATATTTTGTTAGCATTACATATTATAATATGTTAATTATTGATGGAAAATTTCTTGATGCAACTGAAAATTATAATTTTTTTTTAACATTTCTAATCAATTGTACGCGATAATAATAAATAATAATTAATTAAATTAGATTTAACTTGTAATTTTTCTATAGAGGGATCTAACTTTAAACAATTTTGAATAAAGTGTTCAGTCTATATATACATTATTCCTTGTTTAAATTGTATATCATTAAATATCGTAAATAAGAATAAAAAGTTAGGCATAAACGACGTCTGAAATTAAAAAATCTACTTGAAAGTTTTTTGCTATAAATTATTATATATTATTTTAAGAATATTTTAAAAACCCATTGCATTAAAGTTTGGTGAGAAACTGAGAAATGTAATAAACCACACTACGCGAAATTGAGCATATTATTGTATTTAGCATAAATCCAATAGTATTTTATACAGATATATATATATATATATATGTATAGATATTATGATAAAAATATTGTATCATAGTACTTGCGACATTAATACAAATGTATAAACGATTAAAAGCTATTAAAAAACGAACCGATGACTGATAAGATTGCAATTATAGGTATTATATCATACTAATAATAAAAACGTCATATTTTTAAATAATAGTACATTGTTTTTTCTCATGAGATTTTAAAGCGCCTATTGTTTTACAATGATTTTTTTTTTGTACAGATTATAAGATTAACATAATATAATATACCTAGGTGGTAACCTGCACGCGTTCCCTGTTATTCACTACTTTGAAAAATCATATGATGTCTAAATTAACTGCGTATGTAGATAGATATTCAATTTACTCAGGAAATTATTCTATAATGACGGGAAAGATAAGCTCAATATGATGGTTGATTTCCGCCTTAATTATACAATTATTCAATTTTATTCATTCCACAACCGTTAACACACAAAGTGATACGTAGGATTAATTTTTCAGAGTCTAAAATCGAAAATATGATATTGATATCTATATGTAAAAATGTATAATTAATAATAGTGTAAGTTGTTGTACCTACATAGAATACTATAACTATATAATCAATAATATGTTCTAGGTATAATTTAATATTTTAATAAAGGTTAAAAAAAAAAATCTAAACAAATTTATTATGTAATAATGTATTGTTTTACATTCATTAAAACTAGCAAATTGTTTTTCAAAAAAAAACTACAATCGTAATTTTACACACGTTAACTTGGTTCTGATATCATAAAATAGACACAGTACAACAGTCATAGGTGTGCACATGATGGAGAGGGAGTGAAATCCGGGCGTGGATGACCACCCTAATATTTTGTAATTGGGTCCTACAATTGAAATTTCAGAGCAAGGGCACTATTCTTTTCTAAAATACTTTAAATTTACGTGGAAAAACTTATTATGCTTTTACAGCTAGGTGTTAATGTGTTATACAAAAGTACAAATCATAAATAAAAATTATAATTTCCTTATTAATAGATATTATAGATTCTTTACAAAAAGGTTCCAAAAATATTGTAGGAATCCCCTGAAATTAAAGCACATGTGCAAATACCACGTTTAATAAACTATGTGTAAATAATATTTCTTATTATTTAATAATGTCAATAATTTTAGATTATATTAACTACTTCTTTACCTACTATTTTTTTAATTTAATATACTTTTTATATAGATACTCGTAATTTATAGTTACATTATAATATACGATAAATGACTGACTTTTGAATTTAATTATTCCTATTAATCAGTTTTACAGTGACATTCCTTGGAATTTTCAATGGGAGGGGATGTTATCTTATAAATAATTATACATTTCTCTGAATTTCTGGGACAGAACCAAAGACATAAATAGCGAATCTTTAGGAATTAAATTATTAGTATAGTTTATAACTACGATCTACGGACTAAGATGTAAATTATAAGATTATCATATTCTATGCTTATGAGTTATAACTATATTGCGTGATGTAGATGTGTAAATTTTATATATTAGTTTATGCTAACGTGCTGTGTAAAATATAAACGTTAATAAGGTTCGTTTTCCCTGTAGCGTCAAACAGTAGCATTCTACAAAATAGACGCAATGTTCTATGTCCTGTACTAATGGTATGATTTGTTTGTATTTTATGTGATTTTTATTTTTATTTTTGGGGGGAGGATGAGTTTTAGCTGAATTTATAACTTGGCTTATAAGTTATAATTTAGCTTATAATTTATAAACTAGGTTTGCATGTATGTTTAAGAAAATGATAAATTTTATATTCACAAAACAAAAAATTTAAATAAGTTAATTTTAAAATTCATTAGAGGTCTAAAAGAACCTATTGCTAGACATTTACATGTATTTTTAATTTTATGAAGGAAAGATTGTCTTACAAATTTCAAAACTATGCTTGCATACTCATGGACTTGAGTACATTATAATCGTAATTTTTTTTTTTGAAAAAGCTTATTTTTATTAGGATAACCCTAGAGATATGTATTTCTTGCTGCTTCGTATAATTTTGATTTTTCAAAGGGAAAATGTATATAATTAATTCATAGTAACAACACTAGTATAAAAGGAATTAGTTAGATACCTAATTAAAAAAATAAAACTACATTAGTATAATTTAACCCTTGACTTTTCTCTCAGTGGCAGTTTTAAAGTATAAACTAAACATATTACATAACACAAAAACAGATAATGGATATTGCTTATTTACTGATATTTATAATAAATCTACAATGTAACTTAAATATTACCGTTTACTATTTTAATTAATTTTAAGATACTTATAGATATTTAAAACTCATATTTTTTGAATTTAATTCACTATAAATGTTAAAATTTCTTGGTTTAAAATATCTAAAACACTTTACAAGGTCCCTATATGTTGATCGTTTAGCATTTAAAAATATCAAAAAAAAAAAACAAAGACATAATTTCTTTTGTTTTTGGTGTTCAAATTTCGACGAAGTTTTTATTTAACTAAAAAATAATATTAATTGTAGACTTCAAACTTATTTACTACGTATACTTATTATTATTTTATTATAAATACACAAAAAAAATAAATATATTCAATATATTCAGATTAATTGTAAGCTATTTATATAACGCACTCATACCGTTCTGATTTAGTGGTGGTCATTCATTTATAATTAACATGAAAGTTTATAATAAATTCTTAGAATTTAATAACAGTATATATATATATTATATATAAATAATAAATATATACATATTAAATGATAATATAATATTATAATAACTACAAATTATATAAAATTATGCAATGTTCTTGGTAAAATAAGTTTATCTGCCTTAATTATTGGAAATAAACTGCGAATAATAATGTAAGTAAACTATAAAATATTCTTAAAAATAAAATGAACATCGTCTCCGTTCAGAATCGATGATTTATCATATAGAATTTAAATTAAGTACAATATTCATTACAGTGACCTTTAGGCTACAATACAATCTACCTACTCGATACTGTGAAACACTTGAAACCTACCATAAATCAAATTATTACGATACAGCGGAACGTCTTGCCCGGTTTTTTGACATTGCGGTTGCTGACAACTCGGTTCGTGGTTTTTTTTCGATACTTTTGTTGTAACACGTTTATTTAATATAGTAGAATAGGGCTAATAATATTTTAATGGTAGGTATACTTATAGCCCATACCATTAGTACGGTAGAAGTAGAAGAGTAAACCCGTTTGAGACAAGAGATAGAAAATATCGAAAAACTCATCAATAATTCTTTTGAAGACAATGACGTAATATCCGGAGATAAAAATGATTGTGAATTAATGAATCATCAAAGACAACGTTTAAAACGGTTTGCGTATCGTGTATCGTGTATGATATAAATGATATAATAAACAAGATGATTATTTTATCAAAGAACACACTCAATTTTCCAAATCCCATGAATATTTTTGAAAAGATTTTTACAAATTTTTGGTTGTTAAAAAACGATATTTTTAAATGTTATTGTTATTTTCAATCATCAACATTTTTGAAATTTCGTATTTTTTTTGAATGATAAAATACATTTTTAGTTTTATATTCCGAAGCAAAATATTATTTGGAGTATTTTAAATTTCAAAATCCAATGTTAGATGGCATTACATAGAGTTATATTATAAAGTTTAATGTACCAACATATTACAAGGTAAACCTAAAAAAAATAATTAAAAATGATACAAATAAAAAAATAGTACATTTTTTTTTTTTTTGTTAAGGACATAATAATAATAATATTTAAAAAAATACACTTATGAATATACAAGTACAACTTAACTAAACAGAGAACTTGATACAACTGCGTGTACGTGCCTAATTATTTTAGCCGCGTATTTTCTGACGCGTACATAGGAATCAATATCAGACCGCGCGGCCAAAATTCAAAACGGCCGCGCATCTTTAGACATGTCACGCACTCACGCGTGCATAAGAATCACACCTAAAAAATGTTATTTGCTTACTAAAATTACGCAGAAGAAATTTTTAAAAAATAATACATTTATAACTTTTAAAACAATTGGTGTTCTTCGTCAAAAAAAAAACCACCAGGTATGGCAGTATATATACGTAAAACAAGGTTAAAAAAATATACGCGGAGTATCAATATAGCATTTTGCGTTAAACACCTTAAACATTTTTACGAACAAAGCAGTCTGATACGTATTATCCACTTAATCGTATATGTTCTTTATTTTATTAATTTTTTTCATCTTACCATCTACAGTACTTTCAAAATGTCAAGCCGTGTACGAAAAAAATATCAACCACCGCCTTTTCCCGTCTTGTGTTGGGTGCTTTAACATAATAAAATAATTAAATTTATTATACTATTTAAATAATAATTATTCTATAACAATATCTCGAAACGCTATTTTATATGGTATAAATTACCATAATTTAAAATATTGAAAACTATTTGGTTGTTTAATAATATAATGCACGAAAATGTTGATTTTTTTCCGCCGAATAGAATAAATCGACATAATCAATAAAACCTACGGAATTTAATTTATTTATGAGATCACACGTATCTTGTAAACATTTGTGTATTATTCTGTGTCGCATGAATATGAAATTAATTGTGTGTTTTATACCTATTGACTCATTAAAAAATTATATAGACTATTGCATTAATGTAATATTTACGCGGTATTAAAGTGATACTTCGTTCGTGCACGTATTATATTTAATCGACAACGCGCGAGTATAGATAATAATGCACTAATGCGTAATTATTATTACAATAATAGTATTTTATATTTTTATGCGTGTAATATACATATGAGCATTTTATAAATTACTAGTATTTAGCGTCATTTATTTGTAACATTTTTATATTTTGTCACATTATTAATATAATATGATCATTATTAACCGTACAGTGGCTAGTGTTTAAGCGTAATATTATTGTGAAGTTCAACGACCCAATTGTGAATAATAATAATATGAACATACGGTCTGGTCGGTCGCCTATAGTTAGATATCATTTTGGCTGTATTTATGCTTAAAATGCTGAGCAAATAAAATTCATGATTTTGAAAACTGATAACGTAATACGAACACGAATAGGTTGTTACAGTAAGTTGTTACTTGTTATATTTTCATAACTTAGGTACAATACTATACAATACGATATTATTTTGGTTGAATACTTAAATTAGAAATAATGTTACATTTCGTGACTGTCATAATTCGAGGACTTTGCATCAAGGATATTTCCTTCTAATAGCTAGCACTTATAATAATATTTATGTACAATATTATTGTTAAGTCTCGAGGACAAAATCAAACTTCAACGCGTCGTATAATAATATGTTTTAATATGCATGTGTTGCGCTATTAATTTAAACTCTTATAGGTATTTTATGATAAAATATTCAAGTAACAATTATAAAAATCTAATTCGTGAGAGACAAACACAAAACGTTTAGAAGTTGATTACACATAATATACTTTCGCTAAACCACTTTGACTAAGTTTGACTTATCTACACATAATTGGCTATTTTTTTTTTTTTTAAAGATTACTTTTAATGATTACGTGACTAAATATGGTTTATCACGTCATAAGTAATTTTATGAACTCGATAAAAACAAATACTCTTCACTTCATCGCCTTGTTTATAAATAATGGGCAATTTAATTATAATAAAATTTTTATAACCTTTAAATATAAATAATTTATAACATTTCTGTAAGTATCTAAATTGTATATGATATAAATAATAAATATTTTGGTCTATATTATATTATGTGTATCATAATTACTATTTTTATTTAGATGTTTATAGGTTTCTTGTACTAACAACTACGAGTATTTAGCCAAAAAGCATAATATAGAAACATACTATAATGTCCAAATTAATTTTACTAATGGTAACAAAATCTAAATATTATTACATTACAAAATACACAGAGTGATTCGCCAAGCATGTTTATCCTATTTTTTTTTTATTTTTTTTTTTTTTAATTATGAATTTATCCACTTTAAAGGATTTTTTATTTTCAGTAAATAGTTTTTAATAATTTAGAACTATATATTTGAATATCGATTTACATATATCAAAATTTTCTGCTTATTGATTCATAGTAATCGAAAAAAAAAATGTTGGTTCTCATTTGAAAAAAAAAATTATATTGTTACAGAGCACTGATTAATAATATATACAATAAAATTAGAAAAAAGTATTTGAAAATATGGTTTTTAAATATATTTATTGAGATATCACCTCTGGATGATTTACTCACCTAAGTCTTCTGACTTTTTCCTAATTCACTTTTAATCATTGTATGTATTGTATTTATTTTGTACATATTGTAAATTAATATATTTTAAATAATTAAAATAAAGTAAATTTAAAACTCAAAAAAAAAAGAATTTGAATAGATTAATTATTGGATAATGGGAGTGAGCATATTTGGTGAATCACTCTGTATGACTGTGTATTTGAATTTCAGACTAATAAGAAATTATTCAATATTACATTTAACCTTTGGTCGTAATTAAAGCACTTAATAAAATATTATATTTTGTGAATTTATTTGTTTTTAGTTTTGATGAATTGCAAACTTTTCAAATAGTATTTA